GCAGATTTCGTAACCAAAAAATTAGGTTTTTCAGATCCCCAAAATCTCAAATTATTTTTGTTCACGTAGTTGTCTAGCCAAAAGTGTGCCTCGTCAGAAAAAACAATTGCTGTTTCATGCAGCTCGCCATTTTCGAACATTTGTGTCATTCTTTCACAAAATTCTTTTCGTCTCAGAATCGCCTCCTCTGTCAAACGCTGACACATCAATATTTTATATGGATGAAGTTTCAAAAAAACGTGGAGGATGCGATGCAACGTTCATTTGGTCAATTTTAAATCTTGAGCGGCTGTCCGAATGGACGAGTTGGGATTTGCCTTGAAATACTGTACAACTTCATCGACCTTCTCCTCTGTTGCAGCAGAGAATGAGGCACCTGCAAGAGTAGCTCTACGATCATTCAAAGTGCCGTATTCCTCGAAATTTTCAATTATTCTAGAAAAAGGATATTATCATGACTAGAAACCAACGGGATTTCTACGAAAATCTGTAATGTGTTTTGTTGTGTCACACAATCAATATGAAAAAAATTTATTCTAACCTCCTCAAAGTGGTGTCGCTAGCAACTCGTTTGGATCCAAATTTAGTATGAAACCCCCTAAACGCTTCACAGTATTTTTTACCTCTCGAATAGAAGCACTCGATGAGATATCTTTTTTCTTGAATTGTCAAATCACTCATTACTGCTAATAAACTAAGACTCCTGCCTCAGTTGGAATACAACTGACTGGCCCCTAGTAAACGTAACACAAACGTAGAGAGTCAAGGTTATTTTGGATGAGTCGGCAGATGAGTTTAGTTTTCACACATTCCTATGGGACACCCTGTATGTGGCATTTGTCTTGCCAATTGTTCTTATGAATCAATAAAATAATGATTGATAATGATTTGATTTCTAATAAATTTAATTCCCTGAATTTTCCATATATCAATGAAATTAAACAACTTAAACATCATTTTTATGACTAATCGATAATCTTGCTGATGATTGCCACATTTCAATATTCTCGTTAGAATTGAAAAAGAATTTGAAATTAAAATTACATTATAAATTTATTTGAACCATCACTTGAAATCGATGTATTTTCGTCAATTAAATTTCACCAGACCAAATTTCATCTTTTGGTGGAATTCGCGAAGGATTAGTCCATTTTCAAAGGGAGTTAAACGCGGTTGAAAATCGTCATTTTCAACCCAAAATCACGTTTTTTAATTACGTAACGAATGAACTGAGGAATACGGAAAAATACTCAACATTTTCTTGACTTTTTCGAGAACATGTTCCAGGACATAATGATGAAAATTAGAATATTTCCGCGAAAATATCGTAAAAGTTAACTTCACGGCGTTTTCCACGAGGATTATCCTATAAGAATTTTCAAAACGTTATGCTGCCCCAAAAATGGCCCAAAAAATCTGAAAAAATTCGAATCGTCTTTTCACATGGCCTACCATCTTTTGCACACAAGCACGAAGTGAATTTCATAAGAGAGTACTACGAGAGGCTGGCTAGTGGACAGCATATACACATATACACATATACATTCATTTAAAAAACTATTTCAAGAAAATTCAATTTCAGGTTTCATGTCAGTTAACCCATCAACTATGGAAGTATATCAAATAATCAGTTGATTAACGTAGAAATATCAGAAATTCCCAACAGAAAATTGTTTAATCTCTCCAAAAACCCTCTGATAATTACCAAAACAATAAAACTTCACTCCTCATCATCGATTTCCATACACGAAACTCCCATAATCGGTCCAAAGATCGTTTTCATTATTGAAAGACCCGATGATAATTCTTCTCCTTTCGCTGAAAAGTTCTTCGTGACCTGCCGGAATGAAATCATTCTGGATAAGTTCACCACTTATCCGGATTATTTACCACTAATATTCACAAGCAGGTTGTTAAGAATAATAATACTAATAAAAATATTAATTAAGTTATGAATAATAATTCTAGTTTATGGCACGCCGTGCAATAAGTCGGGTTTATCGTACGCTGCGCTTCGCACAGCGTGCTTCAAACTCGACTTCTGCACGATGTGACATAAAATAGTATACACCACTCAGGCATAAACTTCGTTTTCAATGAATGTGAATACAGAGCTCGCCTTCGGCTCGGCCTGTAAACTTCACATTCATCGAAACCGAAATTTGTGCCCTTGTACTCTAATGTATTATTCTAGTTATAACTTACCTCTTGTACCATATCCCCTCATCAACTCCACGTGGTAAACCCTGCGATGAGGCATATTCATTTATTTTTTATTATTTTTCTACATATTTTTTTCCATTACACACTGCCCCCTAAAAGGTAAATCCCGCCACCGTTGGATACCCCTTCCCCAGACTTTTCCCCTCATCGCCCCTCTACCCCCGTTCTGGACATCACGAAGACATCAGCCGAAAGAAGACATCAGTTCCGGCCCCACCCGATCAATTGGAGAAGCCATCGCCTCCGGGAAATTCCCCACACTGGACCCCCGAATATTCAACACCTGCAATAATCCCTTGCGAGACATCCCTGGATTGTGGTCATCGTCACCACTCACCCGTGCTGATTGGCCCCGATTGCGCCCGAATTAAAACCCGAAGGACTTCGACACCTGACGAACCCCCACGAATCGCGAAGGAAAAGAAAAGACCGTCACTCGTGCATTAGCTGCCCCGTGAGTCGCCACGTGCCCCGAAAGTAGTAATAGTGAATACAGTAAAATTCGCCCGGAACTTATTTGGCGAATAAAAAGAGGACTTTTGATACATCGAGCTCATCCCAGCTCTAGTATTGGTGCCCAGAAAACCCCGAGGTGGAAAGGAGGCTCTCCAGGAAAACGCCCTGGTATTTTGAAGGAGTGCAAGGCGCCGGTGGAATTCCACGTGTTCGCCAGAGTGAAGTCCCATCGTGAGTACGAGTTACCCCCCTCATTTTCCCTCTTGTCCCCGCAATATTACCCTTCATACCCCCCAACGGTGAGCCTATACTCTTTTGTTTCTCCCCCTTCAGTTATCATTTTTATATTTAGTTGCATTCCCTCGACACGACTAGCTTCTCCCCTTTTTCTGCATTAGAGTCACTCCCTTTTTACGTGTACAAAAGTTGCCCGGCCTCTCCCACTCCCTAGATCTCAGTAAAGGCCTTATTTACGTCTTTTGACGATCATAGTTGTATTTAGAAAAGAATATAGATTATTATTCTCAAATTATCCCTTATTTGTCCCTTTTCTTGACTCGCCCTAATCCTTTTTTCAGGAATTAGTGTTATAGAATCTAGAAAACGGTCACAACCCCCAACCTCAATTTTCCAACTTCACACGATTCAAAATCTGACAGTTTGGTTCAGATTCCACAATATTCTGCTACGGTTCCGCGGATAATTTTAGTTGAATCGAAATCTGAGGCCTGTTCATCACCCTCCGATGATGAAGGCGGGCAAAATGTTCAAAATTGAGACTGGTCAGTGACATGGGCCAGTCAGAAATACTCGAGTGAGGTCGGGTCAGGGGTTTGGGAGGCCATTGGGGTCGACCGGGCCTCGAGTTACTACGGTTTCAACACGAATCAAGTATACATCTCAGGGTTATCGCGGACAGTACTAGTTTTTCCGCTTATTATCAGTCATTCATTACTGGGTGGTTGTCATTCTTTGTGGGTTATCAACATCAGTATTAGTAAACAATTATCATTGATACTTTTTGGAAGATCGTCAAGTTAAATAATTGTAAATATCGTTGACTTTAGTGACAATATATAGATTCGCCTTGCAGCTCAACTCTATTCCTTTTTTTCCCACCCGGTAAAATCATCCGGTCATTCCCTACTCCCCGTTCACCCTAAACCTTGAAAAATCATCAAGAATCATTAACACAATCATTTGCTATAACGTTGTCAAGACGTGAAACGTTATATACATTGCCGTCTTTAATGTCGACAACTTGGCTGACTAGGAATCGATCATTTTCGTTCAAAGAAGAAGAGGTATTAACCCGTATTCCTGAATGCTACCCTTTGACAATAGCAAAAGTCGTGTATCCACTAACGAATTAATTCCGAGGCAATAAATTTACCATTTTTGTTTTCCACACAACCTAGGATTACACAGTGTTGTAAGCTATGGATTAACCGATGCTTATACAGGCGCAAACGCATTCCGAATAACAATATTTGAAAACACCTCGCAGTGTCTCTATCCAATTTCCAAGCGTTGTCTATTTACCTTTTCATATATATCTTATATATTTCTATCTCCGTGGTCTCAAAATAATTTTATAGCGAAATGATAAAACGTAATGATGAATTAAATCTGACATCATTTTTTTTGTAATCGTACCATAATTCATCTGAAAATCCTTGCCCAGATCTATATCTAATGCAGAACTAAGGATTCTGCTGGGTCAATAATACCTAAAAAAAAAAACTCTGAAGAACATTATTGTGTTGGATAAAAACCGCAGGGTGCATTTATATAGGAATGACGATCAAAAGAAAGTATGTTGCAATGAGGAGTAACCCCAGTATACCCGTAGAGCATTAAAATGCACCCAACTTTGGCTATTTTTTCCCGGCCCATTTTTCCGAGATTTATAAAATGCTGTTGTGAGATTTTCTCATAACAGTTTCGGAGATTAATAATGAGCCATATCTCGTGTGCACTTGACTTTTTGGACATATTTAGAAAGCTAATGTAGCCACCACCGATCTGAATGACTTCTAGTCCACAATTTAGTCGCACTAAATTCCCGAGGAAGTTTCCAATTGAAATAAATGTCGAAAACTCATTGGATACTGGATCGAATGATATAACTTTCCTTTCGTGCATAGTAGATGTCTTTCGCTTTGCAATGAGAGCAGATTGAATTTAATCAATCAATCAATTCCAAGATACAAATATTAAAAGAAAAACAACAATTCTTCATAATATCCCATGCTCTCCTAGTTTTAGGAGAAGCTTTTCTCCTGCAATGATTGTTGTTTTAAATAAATGTACAATTAACGGAAATTTAAACTTGATTTATTGAAATAAACACATAATTTTTCAAAAATTTAAATGACTAATTGAACCGTTGATTAAATAGGATCATTAGTTTTCATAAAAAAATCCTCTCAGGTAATGAGTTTAGAGTGAGGTAGATCTATTGACCTGTTTCAGAGATGAATATCTGAAGAAGACTGTTGAAACAGTCCATTATCTCACTCTCCTCTCATTTTAAACAGAACTACAAACGGACAATCTCTGTAAAATATTTTGTGAGATGCAAAACAGGTTCGACATTTTTATCAGAATCATTGATTATTCAGATGATTCCAAACCGAACACGATGGGGAAATCGACTCTTCCAAAGTACTAAATTCGTTCAGAAATTTTGGTGACTCTTGATTGACTTCCAATAAGTAGTTAAAAGAACGATGGGTGAAAGGAAAAAAACTACTCTGAAGGTAGGGTCAAATTAATTGAAGACTGGACCCGCTGGTATGCATAAATTTCAATGAAACTAATCAAAATCGAACGAACAGGTTTTATTGATCTCATGAAGTTCATTCAGGTTACTGTTGCTTTAATTCTCCTTTTTTCGTTTTTTTCTTCTACAAGTAGAAAATATCACGCTGAATTTCATTTATTATTATTCTCTTGCTCTCATCCTTCCCCTTATTGTTTAACTCTCGAATTCAACTGCGGCTACCCGATTTTGACTGGGGAACATTTCGTATTCACAGTGGTAACAACTAATGTTTTTTGAGTCGCAGATAAACTTAGGACATCTTGTTTACCACAGCCAGATGAAGTGAGTGAAGTTGACTTGTCCATTTGTCTAGAGCATTATAGCGGGCAGCGCCGAGGGATTTTTTGTCGAGCTCGAGAACTTGATTCACCTGAAATAAAATTAATCGTTTAGTTCATACATTCACATTACTAAACAATTTACGAATATCACAGGCCATTTTATGAATATCACTGAAACTAGTATATTGAAAGAATAATCTTTTTCTGTTATAAGCCCTGGGAGGCTAGCGCACAGCGTTAATGGGCAGCTTAGCTTTGGGAACCTAAACTGCCCTGAGCATGGCCACTAAATAAATAGGTGAACACGAGAGTACACCTCGGAAGGAACGATGGTTGAAATTCAAATAGTAAAAATACGAAGAAAAAGTATCCATAAAAACCGGAAGATAAACGGTTAGGGCAAGAATTTTTGAAGAGTACCATCTGTTTTGTTATTCATAAAACTTAATAATTACCAGATGGATTAATTGGTCTTGGACTAAATATATGATTATATATGAGCAGATCCACGCCAAATCAGCAGGCTAAAAATGTCGGTGCTGGGGATTTTCGTCTTAATTTTTTTCCGGAAAGATGGCGATTAGATTAGTCTTAAAGAATCCTAAAAAAAAATCTTGAAAAAAAAATGGAAAAATGTGGCGCGAGCCACAAACGAATTATTATGTCGAAATTCATATAACGCGTCTCGAATATTCTATATTGTCGTATTCGCGACAAACATCATTCTATCCTTGTCCCTCACAAAATTTCTGGACAATTCTCGAACCTTCCGTAACAAAAGTATTTATACCCGCACGTTTCCGACCAAATATATCAGTCGATCTCAGTCCGTATCTCAAATTCGATGTAAACACATCTAACGTGCTAAATACAACCCCTTTATTCTGCTAAACCACGAGTTATTATTCTAAGACATACACCTTAACCGTCACAAAAAATATGAGTAATTGAAGGAGTTATGGTTTTTTGAAAATTTCCAGTTTCTGTCAATGATTTTTTTTTCAAACTGGCCCCAATATCTCAGTGGAGTTTCAAGCTATCAAATCGCGTTTTGGCACACTAAGAACATGAAAAATCCTTCACAATGAGCCGTCATACATAGCATTATCTTCAGTTTAACGGGGTTTATACGAGAAAACATATTTTTTTTCAATCATTAATTACTCGAAAAGCTCGTTTTTTGAAAATCTGATATTTTCGCAAAAAATTGTCAATAAAATGACAAGAATTTGGGCGTCAATTAAAGTTTGTCTTTTGCCATAGTTCGGCCGTTATTAACTCTTTTAGTGAGACAAGTATTGAAAATGACCGAAAATCGTTATACCTTATACATTATACCTTCTTCTTCTGTCATTATACCATCTTCTATTGTTCATCTTCAATATAATTTTTTGGTAAATGTGCATGACACGTGACTCCATTTTAATGTATACATATTTGTGACCGTTATACTTGGAATAATTTATATTTTTACAATCAATTTACTAAAAGAGTCGCTATCAAATAGTTTTAGAGTAATATGAAATACGAAGATGTGATTTTATTAACTTTAGATAGAGAAAGAACTTTACAATTCTTAATCTCACGCGGTGTCTTAGTGGCACATGCTAATGGCCGTGAGTGTGGGGCACGAATGACCCGTGAATCAGGGAGTCTCAAATGTAAATATAGGAAAGTCCATCACATCAAAGATCCACATCACAAATTAATTAAAAAACAATGCAACACTCAACATAGCATTCTTAGTAATACTATTTTTGAAAATTTTAAAAAAACTTTTGAAAAAGCATTTTAAATCATTTCTTATTATATAACACAGTCCGACAAAATTTTGACCCTTTCTCTCCTCGAGATAAAATTACCAGCATTAGGAAGATTTAATCACGCTGATTCTAAATCCGGCAACAGAATTCCTCTAGGCCTTCTAGTTTCAGAGAAAAAAATGTTAAAGTTGCCAAAATCACCTAAAACCGTTAAATTCTAAATGCAATCAAAAAATAACGCGTGCACCATTCGGATTGAAATAAAATTTTAAAAAAATGGGAGAATCGAGATGTATGAATAGAGAGAGAGAGTTTTTTGTGATTAACACATGCGATACTTCTCAATAAATTCAGTAATTAAGTATGAAAAATTTAATTTAACCCTCAAAAAAGAATCATGGTTGGTAGGTCTGAAGTTGCACCACCACGTGCCATTCCCAATGTCCATTTTTGAGGGTTATTCCCTCAGTTCATAAAATTGTGATTGAAACTTGAATAATTTGAATATGCAACCAATTGTACAAACTATGGGGGATCTGGAAGAGATGAGACACCTTGTTGCCCTTGTTGAGGCTCAGCCGACCTTTGAGAGAACGGTTTATTCAGGTATGGAAACCGCAATAAACGCGAGCAATTGATGCACAATTGCATCCTCCACGCCCAGGNGTTTTATTCTCAAAAGGTATTTAACTTGGTGCATTTTCGTCGAGTTGAGAGATATATCCAGCCAACTGGAGGCAAGGCGGATCAACCCTGATGCACCGTTCATTCTGAAGAATGAACTGATCTTTTTAGATGAAGTTAATGGCACCTGGTCCATTACGTCATCTTCTCCCCCACCAAGTATCCCTCTGGATCATTCTGAAATCTTGAACGAAGTCCTCGTGATTGAGCCCAAACAAGACAAATTACCCTAACTTCTGAAAATTCTTCAATGATTCTTCAACGATTCTCTTCATGAATATCCAGAGTTTATATTCTTAAAATCTTCCACAATGAATTTGTAAAAACTCGATATAACGTGAAATATTTAATCAATTTTTATCAACTACTGTCAGAATTCTTTTCTCCACTCCGTTTTATGATCTTCCTATGAATTCTTGGCCACCTATTTTTTTTCATCTCATTTAATTTATAAAACTAAAGTATAATAAGTCAATCCAAGATGCACATTTCCAGGCTTTGCTCTAATTCGAATTCTATATTTTATTTAACAAATGAGAGCTTGAGTTGCACATTGACAGCAGTCATTCAATTCAATGTGTCACTCAAAGTCACAGACATGACACGTAATTGTAAAATTTCTCCTGATTTCTTCTGCTACGTCTGTGCCAAATACATGCCCAAACCGCAATGGAGAAACATCACAGACTTAGTTAAAGATGGATACGAAAGAGGCTTCAAGCGCCCGATGATCAACTTGGAGAAATCATGGACTCCCCATCAATGTTGCTCATCCTGCTGCCGACAACTCACAGCATTCGTTAACGAGGGTAAAAAATCACCATTTACCACCCCTGCAGTTTGGAGAGAGCCGAGAGATCACACTAGTGACTGTTATTTCTGTCTAAATGACTTCCGATGCTACGCAAGAAAAGACAAGAATAAAATGACGTACACAAAGGTACCTTCAGTGGATTTGCCAATAGTCGATCCCAGCATTCCGCAAACTTTGGCTGACTCTCCTTCAGAAAGGCAGACAGAGGAAGAATCGAGGAAGTCACGTACGAGCCCACGTTAACAACGGAGAGTCGAAAAGGACCAACTTTCTTCAACCAACACCGTTTGGATGATTTGATTAAAGACATGAAGCTAAGCAAGGAAAATTCGGAATTGCTATCCTCGCGCTTGAAAGAGATGTATCTCTTGGAAGCCGGGGTTCGCATCACGAAATATCGTGTCCGTGAGTCACACTTGCACGAATTTTTTAAAGAAGAGCCGGAACTTTGTTACTGCATCGATATTGATGGACTGATGAAGAGCATGGGTATAGAACATGATCCGGATGAATGGCGATTGTTTATCGATTCATCAAAAGCTAGTTTGAAGGCAGTCTTGCTAACAATTATCCATCCCTACCCATCGGCTATTCTACCACCTTAAAAGAAAATCACGCCAATGTCGAGTTTCTGTTGGAAAAACTTGGATATCGATATTATAACTGGCGCATCTCAGCCGACTTGAAAATGGTGGATCTCATCTTAGGACTGCAGCTGGGTTGGACCAAGAATTGTTGCTTCTTGTGTCTTTGGGATAGCCGAGACAAATTAAATCATTGGAGTAAGCGTGATTGGCCTCCTCGTGATGATTTCACCATTGGAAAACGGCATCTCATCAGAGAACCACTCGCTGAGCCCGACAAAATTTGTTTACCCCCGCTTCACATCAAACTAGGACTAATTTCGAACTTCGTGAAAACTCTGGATAAGGATGGTCAGGCTGTCAGTTATNTAAGTTTCAATCACAATTTTATGAACTAAGTGAATAACCCTCAAAAATGGACATTGGGAATGGCCGTGGAATGATCGTGGTGGTGCAACTTCAGACCTTCCAACCATGATTCTTTTTTGAGGGTTAAATTGAATTTTTAACACCTAATTACTAAATTTATTGAGAAATAACGCATGTGTTAATCATAAAAAACTCTCTCTCTAGTCATACATCTCGATTCTCCCATTTTTTTNAAAGATGTCTGCAAAAATTTCCTTGGAGGCTCCCGTTCTCCGGATTATCGAGATCGCGTAGCTAAAATGCTGAAGAATCTTGAGGCTATGGGATGTAATATGTCCCTGAAGATTCACTTCCTCTTTTCCCACTTGGATTCTTTCCCCGAGAGCTTGGTAGATGTTAGTGATGAACATGGAGAGATATTTCATCAGGACATTTCAAACCTAGAACGGCGGTACCACGGAAAATCTCAACTGAACATGCTGGCGGACTACTGCTGGGGATTGTTCGATGCCACTGAAGAGCATGTTTCGCACAAGAGGAAGGCGTCTCGAGTTTCTTTTCAGAATGCCGAAATCATCAAGAGGAAGAAAACATCAGAGACACATGTTTAGATCGACGATCTTATTCAACTACACTCTGAGGGAAAAACTGGAATTTCATGGACAGTCGACTACTTACAATTTTTGTGGCGAGTGACGTAGAATGCGATTTAGAGGCGTAAAAGTCATGAAATTTCAAACTTCACTGAAAATTTAGTAGAATTCCAGATTTGTAAGCACGAGGTAGACGACAATTCTTCATCTTACTTGAATTTTCAATGAAAATATGACGATTTGATAGCAAAATACGTTGAATTTTCTAGTCGATGAAAATTC